CCCGGCCCTCTTCTCCTTCTGCATCTCTCGCGCTCGCGCGGAGGCATGGGTCGCGCCGCGGGCGCGAATGGAATGAAAACAAGTCAACAATTGATTGCAATCAGTCCAACAGCGTATACTCTCTCAACCCTGTGGGTATGTGTGTATGCAGTATGTCAAGCTTGACGCGGTGCTATGTCTATTGCCAAGTTTCTCTTTCTCAACCAATGGTCTCTTGTAGCCCTTGATGCGGCTGATAACCAGTTGAAAGCTGATCGTATACCTGATTCTATCAATATAGGGGCAGCACAATCGCGAACAGTCGATCGATCGCGACCATGAAAGCGCAGCCTCAATCCTTTTCAGGCACACTTGAGCCAAAGTGTTATTTGGCAAGTTCTCAGTCCGATCGGATATGTCTCTTTCGACATGTCTATTTCCGATGATGTAGGTGTTCACATTACAATTTCCTAGCACAGGATTGACATCCAAAAGTGCTTTGACTGAATCCCTTCATGCATGACTTCAAGCCCTTCACTTCATGTCAGTACTCAAAGTCCAGGCTATGGTTTTAGACGAGGGATTTCTTCTATATTATATATATTATAAATGATATATTATATATTATTATTAGCAATGATATATGTCATATAAATAATATATCATACATAAATGATATATATATATAATATATGTATACCATTTATGTACATATATAGTGGATTGAGAGTAGATGGCACAGACCCCAAGAGGTGGTTTATATGGACCCCATCTAAAGGACATCTTGAGGTCTGTGCCATCTACTCTGAGACCACTGTATGTTTCTTTGTCGAGGTCCTTTCTGCCTCACCGGACTGCTTACTGTTGCGTGCCCGTTGTGACACTCCCAAGCAGCAGACCCCAGAAGTGCCGCCAGCGTATTGATGGAGAGCGACTCAGCACACAGTGCAGTAGATGTGTCATACAAGCAACAAACAACTAAGATAAACAAAGTAAAATTAGGTTGGAGGCAATCGCTATTCAAAGGTTGGAGGCCATCGCTATTGGGTCGGAGGCCATCGCTCCCAAAAGCACTGTTTAGTTTTAAGTTGATGGAAACAAAATAAAGCAAGTCTATTGGGCTTTGGTGTCCCGACGCCCATGGTCTTTTCGGCCTTTTCCTTACGTGGGCTGGTGTTTCGCCTGCGCCTCAGACAGAAACCCTGAAAGCATCTGAAAGGTTTGACTGTCTGGTGCATAAAGTAAGACATGCTTTACGTCTTGCGAGTCCTTGGTTGACGGGTTTCCTACTGCTCAATCTATGTGGCTGTGTTGTAGTAGTTATTATACACACAAGCAGATTAGTTGACAGGGCCATCTGCCAAGTGACTTGGCTGTGATATTTATGAACAAGGGCCTACATTGCACTGCATCCGACAGGTTGAAACTTCCCAACCAATCTCAACTCCATGTTCATTGTTGTTCATTGCCATGATCGTCTCGTCCTTTCTTCGCTTCACAGACCTTGCCTGCTCCTGCTGCGGCTGCGTGAGCGCTTCCGGCGGCGAGGGGAAGCGCTGCGCGCCCGCTTCTCAGGCTTCAGGTCACGACTCGTCGTTTCCTGCGGAATTGAAGGTCACCGTTCCAACATGCTTCACAGAGATTGCATGGCTAGCCGGTCAAATATTCCGCACAAAGTCCGGGTTTCATGTTTGGCGCCTAGAGGAGTCCATGCGTTCCAAATCCGAACACAGCGAACTGAAGAATGCGGAACATTGCGGAACTGAGTTTGCTGCATCCACCGGCGCGGGTGGTGGCATGCTTTCCTGGCACCAAGCGTCTTGCCAGGACTCCACATAGAAAAGTGTAACAACGGCAGGACACAGGACGCGGTTCACATCTCATTCTGCCATCACTCGACAATTCTGCCATTCTACCATTCTGATCCATTCTGTGCATGACGGTTTTCTGCTTCCAGGTTTCGAAGTCCCGGCCTTAACCTCCTCCCCTCGACGATTAGGTCGACGGGTGCCACCTCTCCATTCTCCCTTCAAGGGGATGCCATCAAGGTAGACCTCAGAGTGCTTTGATACAAACACACTCGTCATAGACATTCGGACGTGACAAAATGCTATCAGGTCCATCTCTTCCTGCAAAGCCACAAAACATGCTCACTATACTCGTAGGAACTTCACGAGCAAACTGACTGGCTCGCCTGACCAGCCTTCAATGCTGTCAAAGCATTCTCAGCAGCAGTCCTTAGCGCGCTAAAAGCTGGGACAGCTACCTCATTCACCTCGTTGTCCTGAACCCAACATCCAACCCACCCCTTTGTTGACGCTTCATCGGATCTTAACCTGTTTCCCCGTTCCCATACAAACTTTGCAGAAATGAGTTGGATCATTCAAACAAAATTCACATACTGTGTGTAGATATAACTTGGGTTGGCCGACTTGGGTTGCGGAAAAAGCCGCTTCGTCTATCTATTCAAATCCGTCTCTCTCCTCTGGCCTTTTGCGTCTGGTGTGAGCTGTATGAGTCTTGGGTTCTTGAGCCAGTTTGCCTCTTTCGCCACTTGCCGGGCCAAAACGAAAGGCTACAAGGTCAAAGGCTGATGTATTTGAAGAACAGGTTCCAAGGTTTGATCAGAGTGCACCTCCTTCTCCTAGTTAAGTTTCCCAAAACATCTATACGAAAAGCGCTCTTTCAAGCTTAGGGGGGCGGGATAGAGTCCTTGAAGAAGCGTGAGCTACAGTATCCTGCGTCCATGTGTAGCTTGAGTAGCTAGGAGCGAACTAGTCGCCCTTACTTTCAAGTAACTAGGCGCCTACCTACTTAATTAAGTAGGAGCGGACTTAAAACAAGAAGCATTCTTTTCTATACTTCAAAACAGGTTGGACGGATTGGTGCGTAAAAGTGCATCTTAGTGACTGCGATTTGAATCGCACCAGCGGATATTCTGTGAAGTTGTCACCCATGACCTGACGAGATTGGACGTTGCAACTGATTATCACAACTTGCACTTACATACAAGTGCTCAATGAAAAAGGATTATTAAAAAAGGAATATTGGGCTGCTTAATATGCTTGGGCTTCTTAAATAAACTTAAATAAGGTCCCTTTCAAAAGCGGATTAGACCGTGAGAGGGCTCTCTTGTGAGAGGCCTTTAGAGATTATTGTGCTTCTTTCAGAACTGTTTCAACTTTCTTTCTTCCTTTCTATCTACTCTCTAAGGACATCACAGCCCGATCGCCCATGTGACATGCGTCAATCTCACCGTAGATCTGGCAAGAAGAATGCGAGGCTTGGTCTAGCCAAGCTTTCCAGACTAACCAATTGAACTGAGGTTTGAAGATCTAGAGTCCGAAGTTGGATTGATCCAAAGTAGAGTAGAATCAGAGTTACACCAGGTCTCCTACTCACAATCATCGAAGGAGTGATTCTTCGAGGAGAAAGAACTTGAAGGACCGAGTGTACATTGCCTTCATGTGTTCCGTTCCATCATGCTTGGCCGACTGCATATGCTTCCTTTGAGTTTGGCGAACCTGCATTGCCTTTTTGAGCCCAAGGCGGCTGGTGCGCTCTGTGCATCCTCCACAGGACAGGCCAGGTCAGTTGTAAGACTTTTTCTGAAAAGACAGAACAAGCAAATGTTACTTGCAAAATCTTGCAAGCGCTGTTTGAACGAAAGTTGAACTGCCCCAGCCTGTTTCAAAGTTGAACACAAGCAAGAATCAACCAAAGACAGGGATCAAAGCCACCAATGAAAGGCTGATGCACACGAGCAGCTTTGCACGCTGACAACCGTGGCCCACGTCCTTCTATGATTTCAATCGTAGTAGACATGTCCTTGCGACTCAACGTGGCCAAGAAGCTCTCAAAAAAACAAGAACAGACAAACTGAGGGTTTTTAAAGGAGCAAGTACGCTACTAGGGGCTCCTGGCCTTACTACTAGGAGCAAGAAGCTACTAGCAACAAAGGGCAATGCTACTAGTAACAAGAAGCTATTAGGGGGTAGGCCGTAGAGAGGTGAGGTAGCTAGTAGAAGCTAGGGAGTCGCTAATACCTACAAGTAAGCTACTACATCTGGACGCAGGATGGCTCACGCTCACACTGATGATGTGGTTTCTAGATTTTGAGGGAAACTTAAGCTAACACACTTGCTTCTAGCAACAAACATCGCATCAATGAGCATCAATGAGCAAAACGTCGCTGGCAAACTCTGCACAGTGATCTGATCAATCCACTACTGGCAGGGCTATGACTTGAAACTCAAGATGTCCAAAAGTTAGACACCAAAAATTATCTCTATATATATAAACCTAAAACCGCCGCTTGTGACGCTTGTGTAGGATGAACAAGAATTGAGCAAGGCGGCCAAAAACAGCAGTTCAAGACCGTGGACGCATTTCCAAACATCCTATTGTAGCTTCTTGGTACTACTAGCTTCTTGCTACAAGTGGCGATGGCCTCCAACCTAATAGCGATGGCCTCCAACCCAATAGCGATGGCCTTGAAATCCCACTTGGCCCAAGTACTACAAATTTGGGTCCCTTTCACTTTTCCCCCTTAGCTCCACACGTGATTTCGCTTCCGCCCGTGCTCAGCGGAAACTACGGATTTTGTTTTTGCCTCTTTGCTGTGGACTTTGGAATTTAACTGTATTCACTGATGGCGAATTGAATTGACACAGATTGATATATGTTTGAGCTGCTAAGCCATAGCACTCTCAGCACTCTAAGGGCAAAAGTTTGCTGGGTGTTGCGGAGTTGTGCATGACACGTCGAATCTGGAGATTGCCGATGTTCAGCCACGGAGCAACGCCCGTGACCATTTGCGTAAGGGATCACATGTTGTCGCTCTGAAATTCTACCAACCTCCTTTTCACCTGGAGCCACATGCCCAGCACAGGATACAAGAGAGGCGGAATTGAGCATGTGGAAATAGAATGGTCGAACAAGACTTCATGATTCAAGCAAAGCAGCAAGTTCCAAGTTCCAACTCTTTAAGCTTCATCAAACTCGCAAAAAATCTATTGCACCTTGAAGCGTCGGCTCCAAACAATATCTTTGGCCTCCTTTCAGCGTCGTCATCAGCAGTCTGTCTGTTTTTATACGGTGTCTTTTCTTGTCACTCTGTGGAGACCAAGTCCCCACACACTCTGACATTGGTTCTCAGTTACACTCAGTTCCCACGTTGAGAAGGAAGGCGAGGGAACGGCAAGGTGGCAAAGTCCGCTGAAAAGTATTGTTCAACATTGTTCAAAATGGCGGCAAGACGATCAAACCGGCGGCGCAGCTGCTGGGGAAGAGTAGGTTTGGGGGAAGTATCGTGAAGGACCATGAAACCAAAAAAGCGAGAGTGGACAGCTTGTCAACAGTTGAAAAAGGAAAGCAGGTACGTGAACCGGGCGTCCCAGGTTCATATCCTCTCCAATCATCAGTAGCTTCGTTGGCCACAGACTGATGAAAGGAGCTGTGGCCCCCTGCCTGTGGTTGTAATAGAAAACCGTGGCATTGAACCCTTTGGTACAGGGGGTGACACACACAGATCGCCGTCATCGGCGCTTTTTCTTTTCAAAAACCGGCTGCAAGCTGTTGAGTCGTGTCCTTTTTGGACGTAGAGTTTCACAAGCTCAGTGGCAGCAGCATCAGCGCTCGAAGGTGGAAAGGTGTATTTGTGGATTGTGTGAAGTCTTGAGTGGAGCCCAGACAGAGCCAAGCGCTGGCTCCCGGCGCTAGTTGCGTCCCTGATTTTCCAGGGTTGTAGAGGTTGAATGTAGGTGATGGTACGTTGTTGTAGGTCAATGTTGAAACCCAGAAGGTGAAAGTCGTCCACTGGTTCAAGTTCCACTGGGTCACCAAAAAAGTTGTGATGGATAAGGGTTTGAATGGCTGGGTGTTGGAGGAAATGTTCGTTGTGGACGATGAATCGGTTGTCAACATATCGGTAGTATGCAAAGTGTATGTCGGTGTGCTGGAGGAGGTTGTTGTGGATCTGGTGCCAGGAGTGTTCGATAAGAGCGATGGCTACGTTGCAAAGGGCAGGAGAGAGTTGGGATCCAATCCCAGCCCCTCGGATTTGCTTGTAAGTGTTGTTGCGTGCCCGGAAAATGCAAGTGTCGAGTGCATAGGCGACGATGGTGGTGATGTCGGGTGTCTGGATGGTGCGCTGTGTGGGGTGTTTTTGGTGATGCCGGCCGATGTGGGAATGGTGGAATGGGTGGCCGGTTGCTTGGACATCTATGGTGAGGGTGTGTGTGGATTGTTGTGCTTGCCAGTGCTGAATCATGGAGTGGACTGCGTCGATGAGGCGGTGCTGGGGGACCGAGTTGAAGAAGCCGACCAGATCATCATTGGTGGCATATAGGGAGATGTCTGCTGGGGTTTGGGTGAGGTGGCAGTGGAAACGGCGCCAGAGTTGCGGGATGGAAAGTTGGCCTGGATGTTGTGGATAGAGGTGTTGGAGAATGATGTCCAAGGCACGGCTAGTGATGCGTAGGAGGTTGCCGCTGAGTGAGTGGAAATAGGAGATGATGGTGCGGCCTTTCTGCCAGTGCTTCTTCTCTTTGAGATGGACCACTCCATATGGAATGTTGAAGTCCTTGCGGAAGCCCCATTTGTATCGGGTGCGTAGGGTGGAGGGTACAGTGGCTTTGAGGTGGTCGTGGATGTTGGTGGCTGTCAGGTATGGAAGTGGTGCAAAAAGTTCGGGAGATTGCCATGTGTTGAGGGCTCCGGTAAAGTATTGGCGAGGGCAGAAAACACGGAGCTGTTGTAGTTCGTGATCAGCATGGTGAAGTTACGGTGTGTGGGCCGAGATATTCTTGAAGCTGTCGAAGTAAACGGGCAGTGAATCTGGGATGTTGTTTTAAATGGGTGTTGTGAAGGCGCCGTTGGTGCTCGAGGAAAGGTTGCAAATGTTGCGTGAGGGATGGTGGAAGTCCCTGGAGCTTAAGCCATTTTGTATAGGCCGTTTGGAATGTAAGGAAGTAGCGCGCCTTGCTTTATGACGTAAAATAGCAGATAAGACAGGGGCCTCTTAAGCTCGCTTAAAGCTCGCCCAAAACTCGTTTTCAAACTCGCTCAAAACTCGCTTGTGCTGTGCTGATGTCCAATGGAAGCCCAAGAGTCAACAGGAAAGTCCAAAGCAAATTCAACTGATCATTAAAAAGTTCAAGCAAAACTCAGGGAAAGTCCAATTAAAGCTCGCGCAAAAGTCGTTTCCCGTGGCGTGAGCGTCGTGGTGAGTTCGGTGCTAGTTTATTTCGAGCTAAGCTCGCAGAAAGCTCGTGAAAAGCTCGTGCGCATTCAGTTTTTGAGCTTCGATTTGAGCTTTTGTCTAGTTTTAGTTTTCTTCTACCAAAGCTCGTCAAAAGCTCGTCAAAAGCTCGCGCAAAGCTCGCCCAAAACTCGCTGAGCGGGCGCTTCCCTGGTTTCCCTACCTCCTTGAGTTTCGCTTGAGCTTTCCTTTGAACCTGTGAGTTTTGCTTGGACTTTGCCTTGAACTTTTGAGTTTTGCTTGGACTTGCCTGGTGAGAGGTGAGTTTTGGTTGGACTTTTGAAGTGAGTTTGGACTTTTTTTAATTTATATTTTTAAGCTATAGACCCCCTTGTCTTATCTAGCTATTTTACATCATAAGCCTTGCTGGGATAGTAGGTGCTGTTCATGTTGGCGTTGAGAAAGATGTTGAGGTGTGGTGGGAGATGGAGTTGGTCGAGTGTGAGAATGTAGTGGTCGTTGGTGGTCGGCGTGTCTGGATCTTGGAGGAGACTGCGGAGGTGGGTGCAGGCGCACGGTAGATCTGCTGGATCTGGTGGCGATTGCAGAGTTTCCTCCCATGTGCGGTGGTTGTGGAGTTGGGATCGAAGGGTCTTGTGGGCTGCTTCACGTAGGCGGTGAGACGGGAGGTGGAGAGGAATGGCCAAATGGTTGTGCTGGTGGATGGTGGTATGGAGCCACTGTTGGCAGTGCTTTGTGAAGTCTTGGTGCGCCAGGAAAGGCACAGTGAGAGGAATGTTTGGCTTGGGTGGTGTAAGATTGCGGAGAAGGAGGGCTTTGTTGATGATGTGGAGTGCCCTGCTGCGGCCTGGTTCTTCCAGATTGGCGGCCATGCGCCTGATGGCGTAGACTTCTAGGTCTGTGTGACGGCCACTGCGCAGTTGTTTGGCTGCTTCAAAGGAGGCTGCCATGTGTTTGGTAATTTAAGGTCGCGGAGTAGCGTGAGAGCATGGTGTTTTGTGGAAGTGTAAAGGTGTGGTTCTCTGAGTGTCTGTTGGCGGAGGCGGAGTCGTCGAAAGAGGCGTTTGTGAGTGGCCAGTCGGGAGTAAAAATGGGCTCGATGCTCGGTGAATTGCCACCCTTGCACTTTGAGCTTGAGATGGTATGAGATGAAGGGCCAGTTGAGTGTGGGCACCCAGTTGGCAATGTGGTGATGTTCTTGGATCCAGGCCTGATCATAGGTGTCATGGGATGTAAGCTGAATGGTGGTGTAGTGGTGGATGTTGTTGTGAGAATGCCAATATCGTAGGGAGAGTTCTGCTGATACGGGGATGTTGTTTTGGAGTTGCTTGAGTTTGGCTTTGCGATTGTGTTCTCTGTGGGGAATGCCAATGGCCGTGGAGCCGATGTAAAAGTGGCCATGTTGGTGGTAACAGCGATGTGGTGGGGTGGGGTTGAAGTAGAGCTTGATGTAGAGTGAGTTGTGGGAGAGAAAGTTGTGGTAGTGGTAGGTGTGTGGAAGAATGTGAAGCTGGCAGAAGCGGTTGCGCCACTGTTGGGATCGGTGTGTGGTTGACGGATTTGAGAAGAGGAGGGTGAGGTGGATGAGGCCTGTCGTGAAGATGGCCTCTGCTCGTTCAATGTATTGGGTGTAGTTGAATCAAAATTCATAAGGCGCGGTGAAGGTGGAAAAGATGTTGCATGGTGGTATGGCTGGGCTGCTGCTGGCTGAGAAAGCATAGTAAGCAGCCAATGGCTGCACCGACGCTGACGAGGTGTTGGAGACTGCGGATGGGCAGGCGGTTGACACGGCTCAGAGGAAGGCCATAGCGAGTGGCAGCTTCCTTCAGTTGTTGTGTGGTGACCTTGCTGGTTTGGAGAAGGCGTAGAATTTCATTGGCCAACTCCTGGACTGCGGGGTCAAAAGTAGTGACCCATTGCTGGATGTCAGTGGTGGTCCAGGTTTCAGGGACGTCATCTTTGAGTGAAGGGTGCGGAGGCTGCGCGACGTCTGCCAGGACAGGTGGTTTGCGTGCTGGCGGTGGGGTGGTTGTTGTGGGTGGATGTGACGCATCTGCGGCGTTGGAGGAGTGACTGGTGCGTTTCGTAGGGGTGGATGGAACGCCCAAGTTGTGGAGCTTCTGTTTTGCGCGGGCAAGCTCATCTGTGGCGGATTTGAGTGCCCGTAGGGCTGTGACGCCATAGCTGAGACCCTCCACACCTCACAAGGCAATGACATCCCCACCAAAACAACGCAGGCACGTGCCTTCCACGCCCCTTTGATCAACCTCCTCATCCAACAACTCCAATCACACTCACCAGCCCCAGCGGAAGGAGGTCGAGGCGCTTTTCCCGGATCTCTTGGAGGAGACGCGTGACAAAGACCGATTCGGCCACGCTCCGGGTAGCGATGAAACCGCAGTACTTCCCGTGACTCAAAGTGCGGGCGGTATATTCGGCCGTACCGTGATATGCGAGTTGCCAGGGAAAAATGTCAAAGGTAGGAAGACCGGCGATGCCGGCCTTCCGTGACCATTGGGCAGGTTGGATTGTTCGGTGGAGCTGGTGGCCGTGGAGGGTGTTGGAATCCCAATGGTGGTCAGTTTGGCGCCAAGAGTCTTGAATGGTGGGCTTCTCTTGGAGCGTCGCCTTCTCCTCCAAACAAAGGGGTGGTGGCAACTTAAAGCAACTTGCACTTCCACACAAACCACTACACATTCTGGAAGGCATCCGTTTGGGGGGCGTTTCAAGCGCGTCCGAATTCATATCTTTTCATGTGGACCCATCCTCGGAGGAAAGGGGTCGCCAACGAGATTCACCTGTCAGGATGTACTTGCCGCCAGGAAGAACACATGG